ATACACATTCTTTACTCCTTGAGACTGACATAAAGATCATAATATTCTCATATAATTAAAAACTGTATCTGTAATGATTCTTTCTGATGTTACTTTTGCACTCTCTCTAAAAAGTCATACTTAAATCCTTGCCTAATTTTTTAGTCTTTTCAAGGAAGATTTTGCCTTTCTGATTATTCCTATATAACTTCCAATACTTTTTTCTGTTCCACTTTTCTCATTTTGCCTTTCTGATAACTTACGAAGTTGAAATAGTTTAATTTGCTTATTTTCAGTACTTTGTTACAGTAAACATTACCTGTCATTCATGGTGTTCGTATTAACGACATGTGGCGTAAAACTCCCTTTAAGAGCTACTTTTGGCTGCAGCCTCCCAGTTCTGCTATATACTGTGCTTGTCATCACAGTTCTAAATATTTTTAAATTTCCATTTAAGTTTCTTTAGCCTATAGTTTTTTAAGAAGCATGTCTTTAGCCGGGCACGGTGGCTCACGCCTGTAATCCTAGCACTTTGGGAGGCTGAGGTGGGTGGATCACCTGAGGTCAGGAGTTCAAGACCAGCTTGGCCATCATGGTGAAACCCCATTTAAAAAAAAAAAGAAGCATGTGTTTAAACTTTGCAGACATAAGGAATTTTGTTTTTAGTGGTGAGGTGAAGATTGGTGAATATGATATATCAACTTTTTAAGTGATTTTGTTGTCTTTTTGTCACCTGGTACAAAATTAACTATGTCTTAGAAGAATATGTAGTTTTAGAGGGGAGGGGGCAAAGTTTTATATTTAAAAATCACTGCAAAATCAGTCTGGGAAACAGCTAAACTCTGTCTCTACTAAAAATACAAAAATTAGCCAGGGCATGGTGGTGTACCCCTATAATCCCAGCTACTCGGGGGCTGAGGTAGGGAGGAGGTCCTCCACTGGAGTCCAGGAGGTCGAGGCTACAGTAAGCTATGATCTCTGATTGCACCACTGCACTCCAGCATGGACTCTGTCTCTCTCTCACACACACATCTGATTTTCCTTTGTTTAATAACAACAACAAAAATCACACAGGCATGGTGGCTCATGCCTATAATCGCAGTACTTTGGGACCTGAGACAGTTGCATCACCTGAGCTCAAGAGTTCAAGACTAGCCTGGGCAACACAGTGAAAGCCCATCTCTACCAAAAAATACAAAAAATTAGTCAGGTGTGGTGGCAAGTGCCTGTGGTCCCAGCTACTCAGAAGGCTGAGACAGGAGGACGGATTGAGCCTGGGACAGAAGTTACAGTGAGCCAAGATCAAGCCATTGTACTCCAACCTGGATGACAGAGTGGGACCCCATCTCCATAATAACAAATCACTCTGAGCTGGGCATAGTGGCTCAGCTCAAGCCTGTAATCCTAGCACTTTGGGAGGCCAAGGCGAGAGGATCAGTTGAGCCCAGGAGTTCAAAATCAGCCTGGGCAACATAACAAGACCCCATCTCTTAAAAGAAAAAAAATTAGTCGAGCCTGGTGCATGTGCCTGGCGTCCCGCTACAAGAGTGGCTGAAATGGGAAGATGGCTTGAGCCCAGGTTGGGGCTACAATGAGCTGTGATCATGCCATTACACTCCAGCCTGGTCAACAGAGCAAGACCCTGTCTCCAAAACAAATTGTTCTATTCCTTAACAGCTTTAATTTTTTTTGGTCTTCCTGACCTACAAGGGTGCTCAGAAAGCTGAATTTTACACACATCTCTGAGATCTCCTTGTAATTCTATCAATTTTTGCCCTATGTACATGTTTCATGATTGATAATGTCTTAATGAATTGTTCTGTCCTTTTTTTTTTTTTGAGACGGAGTTTCACTCATGTTAC